GAGAGAGAGAGAGAGAGAGAGAGAGAGAGCGAGAGAGAGCGAGAGAGAGCGAGAGAGAGAGAGAGAGAGCGAGAGAGAGATAGGAGAGAGAGAGAGAGAGAGAGAGAGAGAGAGAGAGAGAGAGAGAGAGAGAGAGAGAGAGAGAGAGAGAGACTGACCTGAGGACGAGCACGAGCGCCGGCAGGTTCCCCGGCGGGTGCAAGTAGAGCGGCGCGTGGATGGTGGTTGCAGGGTGCAGCGGCGCGCGCGGGACCAGCACGTGCACGAGCGGGTCGGACGAGAGCTCGTCGTAGCCGTGCGGGTCGAGCGTGAGGATGACCTCGCCCACGGGCGTCTCGGGCTGCACCGTGACCCTGGGGCCGCCCTGGTTGGGGCCGCCCGCGTCGCGCACGGCGCACTCCTTGGGGCCGGCCGCCGTGCCCACCAGGTACGACACCTGCACGGCCACGCGCGGGAGCTTGAAGGTGGCGCGCGTGTGCGGCGGCCACCAGCGCGCCGGCACCGCCATCGTCACGAGGCACGTGGCATCGCCGCCCGTCTCCTTGGCGCCCGTGGGCGTGCACGAGGCGGAGAGGGCGTCGTTCCTCCGTCGGGCGATCACGGTGACGCACACGTGCGGGGAGTGGTGCCCGCGGGCGCCGGCGCCGTGCACGAGCACCCTGAGGGCGGGGTGCGCGCGCGTGACCTCCGTGTTGACCAGGTGGGCGGACACCTCCAGCTGGTGCGGCACGGGCGGCAGGTGGCGCCCCAGCAGGTCGGCCTCCGTCACGTTGGCCTCCTCCTCGTCCTGGAATTCCGGCAGCACGTAGCGCGCCGGCACGGTCTGCTTGGTGCTGAAGGGGCCGTACTTGGCGCGGATGAGCGTGGGCCGCGTCGGGTCCAGCACTGTGAAGCGCTTCACGTCCAGCACGCCGCCGTCGCCGCCGCCCACGCCCGTGGCCAGGGGCGCGCCCAGGCTGTCCTCCGGCCGCAGGAAGAAGCCGCTGTCGGGGTTCAGGAAGTGCACGTCGACGCCGCCAGAGCCTGCGGAAGGAGGGGGGGGGGGGGGTTAGAAGGCTGCCTGGAAGGGCGGCGCCGCGGGGCCCGCGCCGCTGATTAACGCCCTAATCAACACAAGCACAATCAACACAGACGTTCATTGCAACAAGCTCTGATTAGAATAGGAAGTAGCACAGAGCCTTGTTAACACGGACAGGGCTTAGCACAGACCTTGATTAATTCGGGCTTTTAATAGCACGATTTTTAATCAACGAAGGACTCTCATTAACAGAACTTTTAATTAACACAGACATAACCATTATAACCACTCCAAGGAAAGAGAATTTCATTGATATAAAGAACATATTTGTGATGATGATTATGATAATGATAATGGCGATGGCGATTGTTATGATGATATAATAAAAATAGTAATAATAATAATAATAAGAAGAAGAAGAAGAATATTATTATTATTATTATTATTATCATTATTATTATTATTATTATCATTATTATTATTATTATTATTATCATTATTATTATCATTATTATTATTATTATTATTATTATTATCATTATTATTATTGTTATTATTATTATCATTATCATGCCATATTCATATTCATGATCATAATCATATTGATCATGATCATGATCATAATAATAATAATAATAATAATAATAATAATAATAATAATAATGATAATGATAATGATAATGATAATGATAATGATAATGATAATGATAATGATAATGATAATGATAATTATAATGATAATGATAATGATAATAGTAATAATAATAATAATAATCATAATAATAATAATAATTATTATTATTATTATTATTACTATTATTATTATTATTATTATTATTATTATTATTATTATTATTATCATTATTATTATTGTTGTTGTTGTTGTTGTTATTGTTGTTACAATAACGGCAACAGTGATGATAATAATTATAAGTATAAAACACACACACTCACACTCACATTCACACACTCACACACACACACGCACACACAAACATAAACACACACACACGCACACACAAACATAAACACACACACACGCACACACAAACATAAACACACACACACGCACACACTACACACACGATCTCCTGTGGGAATGTTGACCTCTTCGCAACAGTTATCCCTATTTGTGTGCAATATAAAGAGAGATTTGCAACTGCGCGAAACACCACGAAACTTGCAACACACACTGCAAGAGAAAATACAATATGCAAATTCGTTTTCCTGCAACACCCTTGCATTCTCTGCATTCCTAAACCCAGTTGTACTTCGTATGATAGCTTTTAATTGCTGGATTAAAACCCAAAATCCGGTGTAAATAAATTCTATTTGATTGCGTGTTTGCAAATTGTTCATTTCATTTGCTCTTTGATAGATATCGCACGTTCCATGATTCTTGATAGAGCCGTAATATGGATAAAAGGCAATTTGATTGTTATTTGTGTGTTTTTGTATTGTCATCATTATTATTGTTGTTGT